TGTAGCTGCATAATGAAGAACTTGGGCTTTAAGCTGCCCCATTCGCCAAGCCCATCCCAATAAAGTTCGCCTTGTCCATTAAAAACTGCACCTGAATAAAATAGATAAAGAGATAGCTTTCAAATAAAAGCCACTATAACATATTTACCATCTTCTCCTTCAATAACTGCATTACTTGCATTGATCGCTACTAAAGGCCCTTCCCATTCAGCGTAACCGAATGTGATGGTTCCTCGGAAGTAAAGGGTGGCTTGATCTCTTAAGTTCATATTCAAAGTTTTCCCAGCAGGCACAAAAACACTGTCGATGATAAGGATGTCGCATATTTCAACAGCCACTTGGACTTCGCTAAATTCAGTTATTTCACATCCTGAAATCGAAAGATTAGTAAAAGTTTGTGAGTTGAGCTGGAAATTGAGGCTGCACCTTCTTGTAATTTACCAACTGATGGCTGACTAGTCGTCAATTGACTAAGAAACAAAAAAGAAAGGACTGTTAAACACCAGAAACGCATTTTCGCTTCAAACAAACGTACTTGTTGTGTAAAGTTGGTTTTGATGCTGCTACTTATATCTACATATGCAGTTATAAAAACCTCTGTGATGGGTTTCAAATGTTTTATCTAATTTGATTAAAATGAGTGTTTTCCAATTTTTTTTATATATTATCAGACTTGGATATGGTTCTAAGTAGAACGCAAAGTTCACTTAATAACAATTTTTTACATTTTAATGAAAAACTCGCTACATGGAAAAGCGGCGAATCGTTTACCTGGAATCGATAGCTAATTCGAAATAAAATTCTGCTTTCCTCCTGCAGGAATTTCCTGCTAAATTATGTCTGAATCGTAATAAATATTCGTTCAAATATTCAAAATATCATTTGAAACAATTTTTCATGAGCGTGCAAAAATGCTGCTGCCCACAGGTGGTAAAAGGTATGGAACCAGAATGGTCATTCATTCAAGAAATAATTAAAAAACACAATTACTAGCTAAACTAAAACAATCTTTGGTTTTGAAAACAATACTTTGCCAATTCAGCACAAGTGGATTGAAACATATTTTTTATCAAACGACTTGCTGGCTTTGTTACAAAAGAAATTATGGAAACCGAAACAACAATACTGAGGCGCATTAAGACCCGGTTGCACAATGAAAGCTACAACCTCATGCTAAACTCCCGTTGAACTTGAACTGGGATTGAATTCGGGCCTTTAGAGAACCCCCAGATTATTTGAAAATGTTGTGTTTTGACAACAATCAAATCAACAGTCATCAAATTGGTTCTTGAAACGACGAGATTAACTTTACGTTCATTCTAGTTTTAATTGACTTTATTCCACCCTGTAAGAACTTTCAATTGGAACACTTTAGTACTGTGGGAAACAAAGATGACAAATTTCTGGTTAAGTTTATTTTAACGACTTTACAGCAGCTTTTATAAGAAACTGCAAAAGCTACTTGCTTTACAAAAGCACTCAATTGCACGATATCTCATCAAACGCAAAGAGACTAGAAACCGCGCGAACGCAGATATACGAAGGATTAAACGAGAGTACCGAGGGAAAAATTCACCAACGATATGCAACACGATTTATTTGGAGCTCAACGGAAAGTATGGAAGATGAAAATCGAAAAAAGCCTGTGAACGAATACATTCAAACTAAAAGCGTGTCACTGTGCAACTGGGAGGGATATTTTAATGACCTGTACGATAACAACCAAGACACAAAGATGAGAGCTGAGCAGGCAGAAGAAGAAGAAGAAGAAGAAGAAGGAGAGAAGGTCCCAATATCATTCACGGAAGAAGAAGTAAAAAACAAAACAAAAAAGCTTAAAAATATAAAAGCACCGGGGGTGCAGAACATACCCAACAAACTTCTAAAGTATGGCGGTAATGAACTCAAAAAAAAAACTAACGCAACTCTTCAATGGAATATTATGCTCACAAACAATCCCCGACGATTGGCACAAGAGCTTCACCATAGGCATCTTCAAAAAAGGACAAAAAACCAACCCAGAAAACTGCAGGGGTATAACTCTTCTATGCTCCTCCATGAACTTATTCACCGGCCTTATTAAAGATAACCTGGAGCAACATATCGAAATTAAAGACGAACAGCAGGGATTACGGAGAAATAGATCTACAACTGACGCCCTATTTATCATACGCCAAATAAAAGAAAAGGCAATAGAATTCGAAACCCCTGCTTTTGCATGTTTTATCGATTTAACAAAAGCATTTGACCGTGTCCGACTGAAAGACATTATCAACATCTTGAAGAAAAAACGAACGCCGGCAAGAATTATAAAAACAGTATACTGCCTAAACACAGGCAGTTCAGCTCGAATTAAAGTTGATCATAAGACAACAAATGACATACCGATATCGCAGGGTATAAGACAAGGGGATAGCTTAAGCCCGTTTCTGTTCACCCTGACTTTGGACGAGATCATTGAAGAGGTCAGCGACTTAAGAATGGTGTATAGGATCAACAGAAAACCCATTAGCATGATTTGCTACGCTGATGACGCGACAATATTGGCAGAAACGGAGAACAATTTGCAAAGACAACTTCACAGATTCAATTAGGTCAGCACACAATTTAATATGCAAATATCAATATCCAAGACAAAATGTATGACATTTGCCAGGGAACCAACGAGATGTAAGGCGGTTATAAATAATGCAATTGTCGGGCAAGTTACAACTTTCAGATACCTTGAAGCGGATATTTCTAGCCGCAACGAACCAATTAAACCTCTCAAATCCCAGATCAACAAAGCCTCGTTAATATCAGGTTACTTAAGAGACGTCATATGGAACAACAAACATATGAGCATCGACAGTAAAGTTCGAATATACAAAACATGCGTAAGACCAATACTCATCTACGGCATCGAGACCCGAGCAGACACAAACAAAACAAAGTGTATGTTAAGAACGGCAGAGATGAATACTCTAAGGTCAATAGCGGAAAAAGCACTACGGGATAGAGTGAGGAACGCAACAATAAAACAGACCTGCAAGGTGGAGGATGTAATCAGATGGGGACGAAAGCGCAGAAGATGCTGCCGGGACTATGTAGAAAGTTGTGTCGAATGGAAATCCAGCTGGTAAGAGACCCATCGGAAAACCACCGAAAAGATGGAAGGATAGTTGGACATTTATATCAGAGGAGAATCAACAACATTGACCAGACGAAATAAACAGACCAAAGGGTCTTTACAAAGAATAAGAAGAAGAAGCAATTTCTCAAAAAATACATATTTTTAGACCTTCCGTCGCGGTTCCTTTGCTCAGCCTGAACCCTATTGAAACATTTCCGATTGTATATAAAAAAATTTTCAGACTGAAAAAAAATTATTTTGAATTTAAACATTTTAATTCAAAGCAGAAGCACTGATGAATGTCGATAACCCTCATGTTTAAAAATTTAAAAAAATTCTACTACTGCTACTACATGTTTTTAATAAATTTGCAGTTTATTGCAGATTTTTATCGGAATTCTGGGATTAAAAGTATAACTAAGTTATTAACAGGAGGAAATATTGTAGAATCTAATTTAAAAATAAAAGAAAAATTCCCTTCAAAAAGTAGCAAATTGCGTACTTAAAATGGGATATTACCCAATTTATTCCACATTTCTCGTCGTACAATTTTTATTAATCAACAAAAAAATCCAGATGGTTCATAGTTGCAGCTGTTCGCTTCGCTACCGACTACTGACACTTGGCTGAACGTCCAATCAGAGCATCCTTTTTCTGCACACAAGATGTAGACTGGAATAGCCGAACTAGCCACAGACCCCACAATATTAATAAGCTGTAAATCTGTAATGGGAATATTGTTTTTGGGCTCTACGGGCAACGTATCGTTTGCCAGCAGGTTCTTATAGTTTTCCTGGATGATTATGCCATATTCACTGGGCCCTGAAATTAATTTTTTACTGAAAGATATTAATTTTGTGGCATCTTCTTACCGACGAATTCAATATTTTTATATACGACTTTCTCAATTTTTCCCGCACCTCCATCGACGTGCGTTTTGATGTGAATTGCATTCTTACCACCAGAGAGGATTGAGTTGATAAATGTTACGTTTACGAGAGTGTTCAGCTCGACATTATCTGCTGATAGACCCACTGAGAGTGTAAGACCGTGTCCACCGTAACATATAACATCATCAACCAGAATATGTGCTCCTAATATTAAATTAAGCAAGTTGAATTAACTCTCATTTGCTGTTGTTTTACATTACGCACCACTGCAGAGGCCTACACAGTCACCCTGATTGTAGACGACAGAGTTCTGCAAAACTACATATGTGGAATTTTTCACTATAAATCCGTCAGTGTTTTGTCCAACTTCAACTCCTCCAGTCTGAAATGGATAATACGAATGACTGTTGCCAGAGGTTTAAAAAATGTTTAAGCCTACCTCAGCTCCTGCAGATGCATCAATAGTCCATGCTATCAGTTCAACGTTAGTAGAATCTTGCAATATAACACTGTGTTTGGGAGGATTCAGGACAACAATGTTGCTCATTACGGTGTTATGTAACCGCAGTTGGAAAAAGTTTGGCTTTAAGCTTCCCCAAATGCCCAGTCCATCCCAATAAAGCTCGCCTTGGCCATTGAAACTGGAACCTAAAATCGCCATAAGTTTTCGACAGAAAACCTATTCAAAGGTAGGTAATTACCATCCTCTCCTTCAATAACTGAATTAGTGGCACTGATGGCTACCAGGGGACCATCCCACTCAGAATAGCCAAAAGTGGTGTTTCCTCTGAAATAAACTGTAGAATTATATCTCAACTGCAAGTTCAGAGTTTCACCAGCTGGTACGAAAAGGTTATCAAATATGATGGTGTCACATTTTTGCACAGCGTCTTCCACTTGGTCAAATTGAGATACTTCACATCCTAAAAAAAAAACGTATTAAAAAAAGCCTGAAAATCAGATAACCAAATTGAGGCTCAACCTTCTAGTAAGTTACTAACTGATGCCCCACTAATCGACCATTGAGTATGGCAGAGCACAGCAGCGACCATCAAACACCAAACACCCATTTTAGCTTCCACACAATTTTACGTAGTGCAAAGTTAATGCTCTTGTTGTTCTATATATGTAGGTATTTCTTTATTAATAGCGCACTTAAAGGGTTTTGCAGCGTTATATCTAATCAGATTAAATTGAGTGTAGTGGAAATTTTCAAAATATAGCAAAGAAAGGGAATGGTTGCGAATAAAAACGTTGGTTTTGGTAAACTCTGAAACGGCTTGCTTTATTTGAGGGCATTAAATAACTGTAATCAAAACTAGTAAAATCGATAACACTTAACAAAAATTAAAATCTCCAGGCTGCGGAGAAATAACGGGAGAAGTTTTACAGAATCTATAATAAATCAACGGGGTAATAAAGTCTTTACTACTCCACGTAGTATGATGTAGAAGCAAGGGCAGCTGCCTTTATTTTCTAGTATAAAAAGGGCGCAAAACTACAAAATGAGAAACTATCGAAACTTTTTGGGACTCTGATTTGAATTATCAAGCAGCGGTTGAAGGCTGTATACGAACGATCAAGCAAATTTGCAAAGGTTAAACTAACTAGAAAACTGATTCCCAAGTTACGGCAAATCCTAAAAAAAATTCGGGAATTCCCAATTTAAATTGTCATCTGTTTCTGGGATTTCCAAAGGGCGTTTGCTTGTGTCAACTGGAAAAAAGTAAGTACTTTGAAAGATAAGAGCGCCAAACACCTACTTGCAGTGACGAGAAACATTTACGAAAACAACAGTACCAATATAGAAGCTACAGTTTTTTAATAGTTGCAGATGTGTTTGCCTAAATTGTGAATTCTCTGGAGATATTTTTAACATGTAAGAAAAATAAACAATGAGAAAGTTATTGGATGGATGGAACGGAGGAATCTCAACTACACACAAAAAGATTGCTATCCTATGATATGCAAACGATACAGTTGAGTCCCAGTTAAGACAAGGACGAGCAGCATTAACACAAACGAAAGGAAACAAAATTTATTATTGTCGATTGTTCTAGTTCTCTGTTGCTTGCTAGTGTCCTACGTATATTTCAACTCGGAGACCATTTTTGACCAGCTCTACTTGTGATCAAATAATTGTACGAATTTGAAAGCTGAAGACGTAAAAATCAGGGTAGATTATACAATTATAAACATCCTGGTTAATAATCTGTATGTATTAAATAAGCAGATTTTAACAACTATTTTCATGCCCTTGGTTTTTATTTATCAAAAGTAGACAAACTTTCAACGCAAAACTCATATACTAACTTCAAATTCTAGAAAGTATTAGTCAACAACTCTCACTCATCAATCTGAAGTAAAGCAATTTTTTGTGCCTATAAGTCTACTGTATTATAATCTCCTGAATTATCTTTAGTATCCACGACATAACATAGTGCAATGGAATGGCGGCTTGTATTGGGAACTGCATTGTCTTCAATATCAAATGCTCTTCTTATTAGACATTACATTAACAAATTACATTTTATTTAATAGCATCACTGAGCACATAAATTTGTGCATGCATCCAGTCCAAGAAGACTTATATGAGATTTATTTTAAGTTTTTTGTATTGAATAAGCGCAAATGTATGCTACTTATTTGTTCAGTTAATTAAGTAAATGCTCCAAATGGACGGTTAAAATTTATGCTTTCTGTACCTGCTAAATATTCAATTCTCACTTGCACTTAAGGTTCGACTGKATAATACTTAATTTATATATTTTGTCTGACAATCGAAAGGCCTTGAATAGACTTTGAGGAACTTTACAAAGATAAGAAATCCATTATATCTGACCYAGAAAAATTAATCAGTCATGAATTGCCCCATTTTTTAAAAGCAGGTRAAATAGAAAATAATTAAATTCGTAGACGCAGGGATTTGCTATTCGTGTGAAATTCAAAATAGGCTTATGTGGTTGAGCTAATTTTTTACTTCAAACATCGAATCGAACCATGAATCGAGCTTCTGAAAGCAAATCCTTGTTCATTGTGTTTTGAATTATTCGGAAAAGCAGCAAAATTTTTTGAAATTTTCATTAAACCGTTTCAGACACCGCAATTAACCATCAACATTATCAAATGGAGCTAGTAATTGCTTAGATTTTGATGCAAGAATTGAGGCTATGGGCAAGCGGTAATTGGTCGGTAGTGAAGACAATAATAACGCATTTACTAAATAATACAATTTTTAATTATTTAGCAAATAACTTCGGTTGGTTCATAGATGCACATATTTGCCTCAGTTCCAGTTACTACAACTTCGGTGAATTCCCATTCAAAGCACCCACCCTCTGCACAGAATATGTATATTGGAACCGCCGAACTATCAACCGAACCAACAACATTAATCAACTGTAAGTCGGTTATGGGAATATTGTTTCTGGCCTGGTCGGGCATGGTGCTATTTGGTGGAAGATTCCGATAGTTTTCCTGAATGTTTATTCCGTATTCACTAGCCCCTGAAATTATACATTTTTAATTTTAAGAAGCTGAATGTCCGCCTTTTTTATTACCTTGGAATTGTATGTTCCTGTAAACCACTTTCTCAATTCGTCCATCACCGCCATCGACATGGGTTTTGACATGAATTGCATTTTTGCCCTCTGTAACAACTGAGTCACTGAATGTTACATTGTAAACAGTATTCAGCTCGACATTTTCATCATCATGCCCTGCTGAGATACTCAGGCCGTGTCCTCCGTAGCAAATAAAATCTTCGACCAAAATATTTGACCCTAAAATAATAGCAATTTAATTCCTGCCTTATGTGGCAAACTTTGATAACGCACCGCTGTAGACAACCACACAGTCATCTTGATTGTAGA